AAATTCATTACCTTTATAACTTGTGAGCTCATTACCTTTGTACCTAGTTCAGCTATCAAAACTTTGGAGGCCCAGCCCCTGGACCCATTACGTACCTCTATAATCTGTAAATACCTTTGTAACTTGTCATGATTGTGACCAGACCTACCTGGAGTTCATTACCTTTGTAAATTGTGAGTTCATTACCTCTAACTTGCTCAGCTATCAAAACTTTGGAGTCCAGTCCCTGGACCAATTATGTACCTCTGTAATCTTTTGACTACCGCCCACAGGATGGGTATGGGGTGCATAATAAACATATTAAACTAACTTCGTTAAATACATATATAACCATCAAATTTAATTTGTGTACATTATTATAATAAAAAAAAAAGCGCTAATCCACAAGGGCTATACAGCGCTGCAGGGTAGGGAAGGAAGCGAGGGTATTGGGCGGCAGAAGGGGGGGGAAGGATGATCAGTAGGTTACAGAAAACAGCGGGACAGGAGATAGTGCAGGGGTAGAGGGTAGCAAGAGATTGAGGTAGAGGGGGGGGGGGACTGAAGGTATCAGTTTGTGAAGTCAGTCAGTTGTCAAAAAGTCAATGAGTCCGGATGAAAGGTGGGTCCATCAGCGAGAAGGGAAGGTAGAGAGAGCAGCGGAGCGAAGACTACGACTGAAGTAAATTCTGCGTGCTCTTTGATGTGGGCAGTCTAACAATGTGGCTGACTGATAATGGAACCTGACAGTTCTCACAGAGGAGCAGGGCAGCGAAGACGGGAGAGAGTAGTCTCCCAACCTCGACACTGGTGACAAGAAGACGGCCAGTAACCTATACTCGGTTTAATAGATTGAAGTTTGTTACCGTGCAGAGTAGACCAACGTTGTTGCCAACGGGTGTGAAGGTGGGTAGCTATTGCAGCAAAATAGTCTGTAAATGTAAATTGTGTACAGTGTTTACTCTGGTTCATTGCTGCAGGTCACAACCTTAATGATGTTTATTGCCTCTAGGAATCTAAATTTTTTTTCTGTACGTTTAGATATACTACGAGACAATCCTCGTCTTGGGAATTTATTAAAAAAATGCAAAACATAAGCATTACTAGGCATAAAATTTAGGTTAATGCTCCTCATAATACTTCCACTGTCTCACCTGGGTACACACATCCCTCTTCTGCCTTCCACTGCGCGACATCTCTCTCAGATGCTCCATGAAGCCCAAGTTCTGAGGGTCAGAATTAATGCTAGTGTTAATCACTGGCCACAGCCTCTCACTCACTCTGCTGCTGCTGCTCATGTCACCCACCACAGAGCGGGTGTTCCTAGTCTTGCCTGAAGGGTGTTCGTAGAAGTTAGACACGTTCCTGTGAGTGTGTTTGATGGGTAGTGCCTCACGGGGCGAGGCTGTACCCAGGATTCTCTCCGCTTCAATGTAACTCACGTTAGCCAACTTACTGTAAGATTTAAAAAAAAAAAATCAGATGCCTATTCAGGAAAACGAGTCCTTCCATAAACATTTTCAAAAAGGGTATTTCTAGGTTGTTACTAATTTACTAGTCAGGCCTAGTGATGCTTAACTGTCGCTGAAATTATTAGGGGAAGCGCTAAACCCGTATGATTTACGGCGCCTGTGGGGGGGAAGAGATGGAAGGTATTCAGGCTTAATTCAGGGAACTGGAGCACAGGCAAGAGCCCCTCACCAGCGTCAAGGAACCTCCCTGGGGGGGGGGGACTGAAATATTAAGAGGTCAGGATTCTGTTATGCAAGATCCAACCAGAACTAACACTGGAAAATAATTTTCCAAAATTTATGCTGTGTAAATAAACCTGATTAATACGTTACTATTGTTCTGTCGAGTGCATTTTAAATAAGAATCGACAGGGAAGTTCTGCGCTGACGAGCAGAGAGACGCCGTTGTTTTTGAGTGTTACATGCACGTTAATGTAAGGTGTACAATTTGTGTCGCTCTAGGGGTTATATTGGATTTAAAACCTCTCAAATAGGAGCCAAAATTGTTAGATGTGCAGTCCTGCATAATTTGCGCATTTGCTGCAGGAACCTCAGATACGCTATCTAAATTATGTTTAATTCTGGCCAGTGTTATCATATTTAGTTAGAGGGGGGTTCTGTACATGATAATCTCCAGACTAATTGGCGAGTGTTGATTATAAATCATCCTCCTGTTATACAAATGTGTATGTAATCATTTATTAATTTTAATATACAGTCCACAAATTTATATTTAATTTTACCAGAATTCCTGGTAATGTATATTTCATTTGCAATTAGTATAGGTCTAGAGTAATTTGGGGGGGGGAAGAGAGAGAGAATTATGGTAGGTATCGAAGGGGGACATTTTTTGCAACCTAGGTGTCCTAAATTCCTACTTGTCTCTAGCTTTGATAAATAATAATCTTTGTTACCATTTACTGGTATGTATCTAATGAGATATATCCAGGTAAATGTAATTTTCCACAATTTAGTTGCCCATTGGTCCTTCGAACCAGATGTAATTAGTGAAGTCATTAATTACTGAATTATGTGAAATGACAGGTGGTGGATGTTAGGTCCACAAATTTACTTAATGTGTAGTGGATAATTATATTAATTTTGCCGAGCCAAATTCTGGCAAAGATTTATATTAGTGTATTTGTATAATATTAATTTTAAGCCAAGCCTGGCCAAGATTTATATTAGTGTATGTGTAACTGCTAAGCTCAAGTGTAGCTAGGATTTATTCAAATGTAAGTTATAATATTTACCTTTATGAAGTGCATAATTAAGTACATAATCAGTGTTATTAATGAAGCTGAATTTAATACATTGCAACATGGGTGAAAATGAGGAAATTAATGTAGAAGAAACATTGACTATAGAGCAAAAAAATTATTGCAGGCTATAAAAGGTCATGTAACAAAAGCATACAATAAGTGTTTGGAAGTAATGAATCAAGAATGAATATTAATTATTTAAATTTATATTTAGATGCTTTAGGGAATAGATATGATTCATACAAATTATATTACAACAAATATGAAGGAGATTTGTTAGTAAACTGTAGACGAGGAGAAGATTTTGTAAAAGTCAGGCTTTGAATAAATTAAAATGTGTAAACCACACAGTTAATCTGCTCCAACAAATAATGTGTCTTTGCCAAAACTCCCAGAACTATGTTTACCTGTATTTAATCCTGGAGAAAATTGGGAGGAGTTTTGGTCAATTTTTAAAGCAGCTGTGCATGACAGGAATGACCTAGCATGTGTAACTAAATTATTTTACCTCAAAGGACAGGTAAGAGGAGATGCTCACACTCATACAAGCCTTTCCCAATGTAGATGATTCTTACAAAGAAGCAGTTGACTTGTTGAAAGTCACTTATGGTAATATAGAACAAAGTAGGTTGGATCTAGTGAATATCATTGTTAATTTAAAATTTCCAGATCACACTTACAAAGGTTTACAGCAGTTTAGAGTTAAACTGGAGAGCACTCTCAAAACTAATAAATATAATCTGAAGGAATCAGACTGGTTATTGAGTACCATGGTACAGAATAAATTAAGCTGTAAAACACTTTAATGGCTCTCGAACAAGCATCACAAAGGTTATTTTGGTCTGGAGGAAATAAGACTAGGTCTACAAGAAATAATTGTTCAGATGCAGACCAGCCAAGATGCAACACATAATAACTGAGGTATCTGTCAAGTTTCACAAGGGGGAAAATTATCCCAATGTTAATAATCAAAATTCATTTCCTAAAGAGAGTTGCATTAGTACATATCAAGTAGCAGGAATCAGAAATAATGATTCTCCACAAGGTAAGAAGAATAAGTACCCTCCTAAGAGTAGCCCAGTTAATAAGAAACCAGTCAAAGAAAATAGTCTAAGAATTGCAATGCATATAATTCATGGAATGATAAAGTTGAAAGATTGGAGGAACTTGACAGATGTATCAGATGTCTAGGTAATCACAATGTAAAGGATTGTCATGCCAAATTAAACAACTGTTATCAATGTCACAAAGGAAGACGCCATATCGTCATTTGTAAGGGTCTATCTATATGATAATGTTGACAATCCTGACAACAGTGGCTAATGTAAAAATTGCTGCTAATGTTAATAATGATGGTTTTGCTGAAGTAGCCTTACCTGTGCTACAGGTAAAAATTGATAACTCATAAATCAAAAAAATGTAATTACATTATTAGACCAGGGATCACAGCGTACTTTCATGAAACGGAAATATCTTATGGTATGAAAGTCCAGAGGGGGAGATCCTACAACTCTAAAATTATCTGGTTTTCTCTCGGATATTATTATTATAATCAAAAAGAAGCGCTAAGCCACAAGGGCTATACAGCGCTGCAGGGTAGGGAAGGAAGAAAGGGGAAATTTGGATGGCAGAAGGGAGGGGGGATGATCAGCAGGTTACAGAAAACAGCGGGGCAGGGGATAGTACGGGGGTAGAGGGTTGCAAGAGATACAAGTAGAAAGGGGCGGGAAAAGTATCAAAATTTGTGGAGTAAGTCAGTCGTTGTCAAAAAGTCAATGAGAGAGTGGAATGAAAGGTGGGTCCATCAGCGAGAAGGGAAGGGTTTAAAGAGAGAGCAGGGGGGGCGAAGACGACGACAGAGGTAAATTCTGCGTGCTCTTTGTTAAAGTGGGCGCCCAAACAGATGTGGCTGACTGATAATGGAGCTTGGCAATTCTCACAGAGAGGAGCAAGACGCCTCTCCATGAGATATCCATGAGTAAGACGGTATGGCCAATGCGAAGACGGGAGAGAGTAGTCTCCCAACCTCGACACTGGTGATAAGAAGACGGCCAGAAACCCTATACTCGGTTAATAGACTGAAGTTTGTTGCCGAGCATAGTAGACCAACGTTGTTGCAAGGGTGTGAAGGTGGGAAGGGTTATTACAGCAAAATAGTCCGTACATGGAATACCTCTATAAGAAACTGGTAGGTCATGTACTGCTGACCGCGCAGCAGTGTCTGCCTGTTCATTGCCCTGTACGTCAACATGACCAGGGACCCAACAAAAACAATATCTTTATGCTTAGTAAAGATGCGGCGTAGCCAAAGTTGGATACGGAGGACTAAGGGGTGAGGTTTTATCAAATTTTTGTATTAGCCTGTAAAGCACTAAGGGAGTCTGAGACAACCACAAATGATTGACCCCCAGGCATAGATGCAATACGGATAAGTGCTTTTAAGGATGGCATATAATTCAGCAGTAAAAAATACTAGCTGAAGATAGTAAATGCCCTTGTTTCGGGGGACGCTGTCCGGAAACACTGCTGCGAATCCTACGCCGTCAGAAGACTTAGAGCCATCTGTGTACACAGCAATGGCATGAGAAAATGAGGTGAAAGTGGTCAAGAAAAAAGAGAGCGGGAAGCGGACCGTAGACAGTTGGGCTTCGAGCAAAGGGAGGGAGAAAAAAACAGACTCGAACAGCTGGAACTTCCCCGGGGGGTAGGGAAAAGTGTGATGCTACATGTACAAAAGAAAGGGGGGTAGTTTAAGAGAAGACAAGAGCGAATGAAGGCGAAGAGAGAAGGGACGGAAATAAGCAGGGGGGGCGAACAAATAAAGAATGTCTACTAATATCAGTGACCATTCTATAAATGGAAGGATTGCGGAGATCATGAGAGCGTCATAGTAGCGCAGGCAAGGGCATCACGGCGATGGAAAAGGGATGGAACGTTCGTTCTGCTAGAGGCTTTCGCGGGGAAAGAGCGAAAAGCACAAGGTTTTGTAACCCTTGGTGTGAATGGGGAAAAAGGCAGAGAGGTGCAGGAGATGCCGCTGAATAGATCTGGTCACCAAAATCAAGTTTCGATAAAAATAAGGGGGAATGTAGGTGAAGGGGGTTGACGATAGTCCCCACGAAAGATGGAAAAGGGTTTTAAAAAAGGGTTCAGCCGGCTGTGACAAGTTGCCTTCAGGAGGTAATGTGAGGTTTCCAGGAAAAACCTACGATAAAAGGGAGGCCGGGAAATTTGATAAATCACGTTCGGGATACGGAGCCATAGGGGTACAAAGGATGTCAGGTGACAGGCGTCTAGGAAAGTGATTTTGGGGGGTTTTAGTGTGGGAAAAATTTTAAAACCCCTGTGTGGTGGCCCAATTGGAAAAAACGGTCGACTGCTGTGGAAAAAGGGAAAATGAAGGAGGTGACGTCAGCGCCGCACAGGCAATAGCGAATCATCAAATGGGTGATGACAAAATTTGATGGAAGAAGGGGCCCCCAAATCATTAATAGCAAGGGAAAAAGTGTTGTGTCAGAACACATCCGGGGGGGACCCCTTCAGCTTGGATAAAGCCCGGGGGGGGAGCACTTATTAAACCGAACAGGGAAATGCCTGTCAGTTAAAAAGTTTTAAGGAAGGATGGTAGTTGCCTCAAAGTTTTTTGGGGGGGCTTGGGCAAAAATATTATACCCCCAAAGTT